CTCATATTGACATTCCTAGCAAAAAATATTGTAACTTCTCAAAATTATATATGTATTAAAAAAAATGTGATTTTATGATACAACTAGTGGCCCAGTGCACAGATTTGTGCATATTGAAAGGAAATTAACTAGAAGGAATATTTTATTTTATTTTATTTTTATTTTTTATTTATTTTTTTTAATTAAATCTTTATTGTTCAGGTTATTACATTTGTTCCTCTTTTTCCCCCCATAACTCCCCTCCTCCCAGTTCCGCCCCACCCTCCGCCCTCACTCCCCACCCACTGTCCTCATCCATAGGTGCACGATTTTTGTCCAGTCTCTTCCCGCATCTCCCACACCCCTTTCCCCCCCAAGAATAATCAGTCCATTCCCTTTCTATGTCCCTGATTCTATTATAATCACCAGTTTATTCTGTTCATCAGATTATTTATTCACTTGATTCTTAGATTCACTTGTTGATAGATGCATATTTGTTGTTCATAATTTGTATCTTTACCTTTTTCTTCCTCTTCCTCTTCTTAAAGGATACCTTTCAGCATTTCATATAATCCTAGTTTGGTGGTGATGAACTCCTTTAGCTTTTCCTTATCTGTGAAGCTCTTTATCTGACCTTCAATTCTGAATGATAGCTTTGCTGGATAAAGTAATCTTGGTTGTAGGTTCTTGGTATTCATCACTTTGAATATTTCTTGCCATTCCCTTCTGGCCTGCAAAGTTTCTGTTGAGAAATCAGCTGACAGTCGTATGGGTATTCCCTTGTAGGTAACTGAGTTTCTTTCTCTTGCTGTTTTTAAGATTCTCTCTTTATCTTTTGCTCTTGGCATTTTAATGATGATGTGTCTTGGTGTGGTCCTCTTTGGATTCCTTTTGTTTGGGGTTCTCCGCGCTTCTTGGACCTGTAAGTCCATTTCTTTCACCAGGTGGGGGAAGTTTTCTGTCATTATTTCTTCAAATAGGTTTTCAATATCTTGCTCTCTCTCATCTTCTGGCACCCCTATAATTCTGATGTTGGTACACTTGAAGCTGTCCCAGAGGCTCCTTACACTATCCTCGCATTTTTGGATTCTTTTTTCATTTTGCTTTTCCGGTTGGGTGTTTTTTGCTTCCTCGCATTTCAAATCATTGACTTGATTCTTGCGCTCCTCTGGTCTGCTGTCGGGAGTCTGTATAATATTCGTTATTTCAGTCCGTGTATGCTTAATTTCTAGTTGGTTCCCCAATATAACATCGAGGGTCTCATTAGTTTTCTTGTAGATCTCATTAAGTTTATCGGCGGCTTCTAACCAGTTCTTGAGAGACCTTAAAAGTGTGGTTCTGAACTCTATATCTTCCATTGACAATTTTGTCCTGTTTCTTTGTCTCCGCATTTTGTTATGCTTCCTTGGTGCACCCCCTAGTGGTCTTTGTGCGCAGTCTTATAGTTAAACCTTGATTGTTGTAGCTAATACCAGGGAGGGTTTGACCTCCAGGCCAAGTGGCTATGAGAATCAGCTGTGTCTGCAGTGAGACAACTTCTGTCCTCTAGGGAGGTGCTAATCTGGCGTTTGCCTGAGGCTATCCGGCAAATGCCTCTGTGCAGGGCTTAGGCGGGGTGGGTCGCACAGGATCAACAGGGTGGGCCGGAGAGAGCAGTTATGGCGGCTCTCAGTCCCGTCCCCAGGGGCTCTGCCTCTCTGAGTCCCAGCACCCACTGCAAAGCTCGGAGAGAAAGTTGCACTCGCTCTGACCGAAGCCAGACAGTCCCGCTTCTCCCGTTTGAGTCTGGATCCCTAAAGACTCGCCTGTATCTGGAGCTCAGAGTCTGCGACTCCCTCCCGATTGAAAACGCCAACTGCGCCCTCCGCCGCCAGCCCACTCCGCGCACTCCGCACCTCAGAATTTGACTTCAGCACTGCGCCTCCTCTGAGTGTCCGTATGCGTTTCTCTTTCCTCCTAGTTGTAGGACTTCCACTCAGCCAGCGTTCCAGTGGTTCTGGGTGATGTCCGTTCCGTTTTTTAGTTTCACTTTTGAAGTAGTTGTTCAAGGCAGCAAACTCCGGCGTGAACCTATGCCGCCATCTTGGTTCTCCCCCTAGAAGGAATATTTTAACATCGCTATTCTATATTCCATTTCTCTACAATAGAAGTGTCAGAGATGAAACAAAATTAGTAAATTGTATATGAAAATAATATATAAATTGATTAATAAACAATAACAACATGATATAACAACAAAGACATGATATAAAAACAACATTGATAAAAACAATGACTGATAAATTGATTAAACTTATTCTAATATCTTCTTGTGTACCACATTAAGAATAAAAACACTTTCAGAGTGCTTGACTAATATCCCTTGTGATGAAGTATTTACAACTTTAACATCCCACGCTCTTCAAACTCGAGAGAAAGCAACATATAACTGACCATGTCTGAAAACAGGTTCAGGTAGGAATATTCCTACTCTGTCTACAGTTTGTCCTTGTGATTTATTAATAGTCATCACAAATGCTGGCATCACGGGAAACTGTTTTGAAATTAATTTAAATGGGAGGCCAGTGTCAGACGGGGACAAATCAATTCTTGGATTCAGAACAAACTCTCCTTCCGCAGATCCTGTTAATACTTCAGCTTCAATTATGTTAGGTTGCAATCTTTTGATAATAAATCTAGTACCATTACAAAGACCCCATTTACTATTAAGATTTCTTAGTAACATGATGATTGCACCTACTTTCAATTTTAATTTATGATATGGCATTCCCGAAGGTGTAATACTACTAAGAAATTCCATGGGAAAATTTTCCTTTTCGGCATCATCCGTTGAATTGATGGAATCATCATTCAAATAGGTGTGAAAATCTCCATCAACTATATCCAAAATTTATTCATTTTTTTATGAACGTGCTCATTTTTTGACAAAGAATTGCACATTTAGATATATTTTTAATATTATCTATAGATATACTATTTCCAAAGATAGCTTCAATAATAGATCCATTACAAATAATTTCATGGGGGATTTCAATAATATCCATTCCGAGAGTTTTATATGCATCGTGCATGCGTGAGTAAACGACTATTTTTAAATGGGCAGTGTGCGTCATATGTACCGGCCAGTCGGTCGGTCGGTTGGATGGATGGTCAGTCATTTAGCCTTTTAAATCCTATACTAGAGGCCCAATGCACAAAATTTGTGCAAGAGTAGGCCTTCCTTCTCCCGGCTGCCTGCACCAGCTTCCCTCTGGCACCTGGTACTTAGGCTTCCCTCCGGCCATTGGCTAGCACCTGGGACCCAAGTTTCCCTCTGGCTGCCGGCAGGCACCTGAGACCTGGGCTTCACTTACAGCCCCGGCTTCATCCAGAAGGTCTTCCGGAAGGATATCCGAAAGGACGTTTGGTCTAATTAGTATATTACGCTTTTATTATTATAGATAATAAAAGCCAAATAGCAAATTGACTGAATGGCGGGACGACCGGTTGTTATGTCGCATACTGACCACCAGGGGGCAGATGCTCAACGCAGGAGCTGTCCCTGGTGGTCAGTGCGCTCCCACAAGGGGAGTACCACACAGCCAGAAGCTGGGCTCATGGCTGGCAAGTATGGTGGCGGTGGCGGGAGCCTCTCCCACCTCCGCGCCAGCACTAAGGAGCAGCGAGCAGGCAGGTGGTAAGGAGCGAGGGGTCCTAGACTGTGAGATGGTAGTCCATCTGCCAGCTTAGGCCCACTCCGTGGGGAGCGGACCTAAACTGGCAGACGGTCATCCTCTGAGGGGTCCCGGACTCCGAGAGGGCGCAGGCCGGGCTGAGGGACACCCCCCCCCCCCCACCCCCGTGCATCCCTCCTCAGTGCACAGATTTTGTGCACCGGGCTTCTAGTATATAGATAATGCTCTTCATTTACTGAGTGAACTCATTAAGGCTAAAAGAGGATAGACATTACTACCACTGATACCCATGTAATTCTCTTCCAGACCAACATATATCCTAAATTCCCAGGCTTAGGTCATGTTATCTTTCTGTCACCCACATTCTTAAGTTTTGATCATTTGTGCTTGATCTTTTCATTTTTGCTTGATAGGTCTAGCTAGGGATTTACCAAATTTATTGATATTCTTAGAGGACCAGATTTTGGCTTTGTTAAATTTCTTTATTGCTTCCTAGTACATTGATTTTGCTCTCTAATGTTTCCTTCCTTCCACCTACCTTGTTTTTACTTTGCTCTTCTTTTTCTAGGTTCTTAAGGTGAAACTTTAGGTAATTGATTTTAGACCTTCTTTTTAACATAAACATTTAAAGCTATAAATAACCCTGCTAAACATGTCTTCATCTACAAATTCTCCTATGTTGTATTTTCATTATCATTTAGTTTAAACATTTAAAATTTTTATTGTAATTTCTTAGTGGTACATGAATTATTTAGAAGTATATTATTTAGTTTTTAGATATTTGGGTTTTTTTCAAGATGTTTTATTGTTATTGAATTCTAATTTAATTATGCTGTGGTCAGATAAACATATTTTGTGTGATTTTTACTTATGAATTGACCCTTTGGTCATCATGAAGTTTCCATTTTATTTTGGATGACAGTTGAGTAATCAAGACTTGATTTGATACAACTATAAACCTACTTTTGCCAACACCTGTATAACACTTATATAGGAAAAAAAAGTCTCATATCTGAAAAAGCATTCATTTTTATTATGTGTTTAAGCTTCTGAACAATAAAGCAACCTTTTTCTTTAAAAAAAAAAAAAAAAAAAAGACTTGATTTGAACCTTTAAGACTTTTACTTGCACTTTTTGACTAAACTTTAATTTCCTGTAAAGTTGACAATATATATACCCCTTATGTATCATTTTAACTGAGAGTGCTTATTTGTAAATAATCATACTTAGATGTTTGTTTCACAGAATTAAACTAAATTATTTTCTTTCACATAATTTTAAAGTTTATTTTCTTTTCATAATACAAGATATGCACTAAATGTATTTAATAAAATCTACTTACTATAGGTCCAGGTCAAGACCTCGTCCACGTTCCCATAGTCGAAGCAGTGAAAGGTCTAGTCACAGAAGAACCCGTAGTCGATCTCGGGATAGAGAACGACGTAAAGGCAGAGATAAGGAGAAAAGAGAAAAGGAGAAGGATAAAGGCAAGGACAAGGAATTACACAACATTAAACGGGGGTAAGTTGATATTTCCATGAACGTTAAGCAAATCTTAAGAGTTAACTCAGTGATTCTATGGCAGTGTTCAAACTAATTTCATTCTTGGAGGTTTTTCTTGGATGGAAAAAAGAGGTGAATACATTAGGGAAAGAAAAAGGACTAAACCAAAATAGTTATCTCAAATTTTTACTGTGTTTTCTATTCCTATTTTTATTTACTTATGTAACAAATCGTAGACACAAAATAAACAGCACTATCAAAGCTTAGTATCTCAGTAAAGGAAAATTTGCATAATTCTTTAGAAAAGTTCTACATTCAGTTTTGCTTATCATAAGTATGAATTTAAAATTTGAAGACTACTGAACGTTTTACTATTGGTTAGGTCTCTTTCAGTATAGAATGGGGACTTGGTCAATATTAAGGTGTATGTATATGTTAGAGTGTCTGTGCATACAGGACCTGGAATTTATTTTTTCTGGAATTGATATTATTGAAACAGTTACTCTAGCTCTGTCCATTTGGAGGGTGAAATTCACTCATAACTGTTTATTAAATTAAAAGCTGTTAAAATGAAATAATAAGTTTGGGTTAGTAGCTTAAATTACAGCTTTTTAGTTGTTTTACTCAAAACTGACATTGGGATCTCTTATTCTATGAAGTAAAACATCTAGGAATTTATCCGCTTTTGTCAGTCTTTCAACACCTTACATATATTCACTTTAATACTTCAATAAAAAGTGTTTATTTTTGATGTATCAATCAGATTTTAGTGTTAAGTTGAAGAGCTTACCAGGATCTTCGATATGGTTTTTTGAGACCTTGATTCTATGAAGAATTAAGTTTATTAAAGGATATAGAACTCTTCTCTAATCCTTTTCTTTTCCCAGTTGTCTGTCTGTTTATATTTCATTTCCAGATTTACAGTAATATTATATAAATCTCCCTAGATTGTTGACTTTAAGTGTTTGTTGAAATAATAAATTTGTAATGGATTTTGGAATAGGATAACATTATTATGTTACTTTCTTTCTCATGATTACCCCACAATCATTATTACAAACTAAGTAGTTGTGATCCTGAAAAATTCTGACTTCTGTTCTTTTTAAATTTTAAATGTTATAGGAGAGGAGATAGTGTTAGATATCTGGCTGTGAGAATAGGGAAGCTGAGTTAGCCAGAGTTAGTAGAATGGAATGAGGATCAGAGAGTGTGTGGGGGAAATCTATTGATAAAGGGAGAAACTTGGGAGGATGATAGGTTTGAAGAGATGTAGAATAGGTTTCTGAGACTGGAAAGTATGGACTAAAAGAATGAATAAATTATGTCAATGAAGGAACTGCCTTGCTTCTTGTTCCTTTTTTCCCTTTAGGTTTATACTTTAGACTAGAGCCCGGTGCACAAAAATTTGTGCACTCGTGGGGGGGGGGGGGGAGTCCCTCAGCACGGCCTGTGCCCTCTCGCAGTCTGGGACCCCTCAGGGGATGACCACTTGCTGGCTTAGGCCCGCTCCTCGGGGGATTGGGCCTAAGATGGCAATCAGACAGCCCTCTGGCAGCCCTTGGGGGATGCCCACTTGCCAGCAGGGAGCAGACCTAAGCTGCAGTCAGACATCCTTAGCGCTGCTGAGGAGGCAGGAGAGGCTCCCACCACCACCGCTGTGCTGGCAGCCATCAGCCTGGCTTGTGGCTGAACAGAGCTCCTCCATGTGAGAGCGCCCTCACCACCAGGGGGCAGCTCCTGCATTTAGCGTCTGCCCCCTGGTGGTCAGTGTGTGTCATAGTGACCAGCCATTCCCAATCTTTCTGCTGTTAGGGTCAGTTTGCATATTACCCTTTTACTATATAGGATAGAGGCCTGGTGCACGGGTGGGGTCCAGCTAGTTTGCCCTGAATGGTGTCCCGGATCAGGGTGGGGGTCCCGTTTGGGTGCCTGGCCAGCCTGGATGAGGGGATGATGGCTGTTTTCAGCTGGTCACACACCCTTCAGGGTGGGGGTCCCCACTGGGGTACCTGGCCAGCCTGGGTGAGGTGCTGAGGGACGTGTTCAGGCTGGCGGGTGACTGAAGTTCCCAGCCTCTCCTTTTTTTCTTTTTTTTTGTTATTCTGGGATTTATTTACCTTCTATGGCTGTCACTGGAACTGAGAGCCGGCTTTAGCTCTGAGGCTCAGCTCCAGCTCTGAGACCTTGGCTGCTGAAAGCAGGTATCTGGATTTGTTTGGGTTCTATAATTGTAACACTGTTGCGGTCCTTCTAGCTCCAGCTCTGAGGGCTGAAAGCAGGTTTCTGGGATTTATTTACCTTCTGTAATTGCAACAATGTTTCTTAGACTGCAGCTCAGAGGTCCGCAGCGGCAGGTGGGGAACCTTGGCTTCCTCCTTAACTGGAGACAGCAAGCCTCCTGTTCGCTTCAGCTGCCTGGCTGCTGGCCGCCATCTTGGCTGGCAGTTAATTTGCATATCTTGCTGATTAGCCAATGGGAAGGGTAGTGAAGTTACGGTTAATTACCATGTTTCTCTATTATTAGATAGGATACTATATGACTATGAGAAATATGACTATGCTTTTTAATACTCATTACATTTTTGCTTTTTAATCTCACTAACTTTTAACTTTTTAGAGTAATATTTGCACAGTTGTATAAAATTGACATTATATAAAGCATTATTTTGTGAATTTTAAAGGTAAGAAAAATTAGAGTGTGACTAAGACATGGAGGTCAGGTGGTTTCAGGAAAGGTTCTCATTTGGTAGGGTCTGGGCCAAATTTACAGGTTAGACTCTTGTTTCATTCAGTGTTGAGGTGTTCAGGTGACTCATTCCTGGATAAAAGATTCAGAAACCCATTCTGTATTTGTCATTACTTCTTACTCAGTAAAGGGAGTGAGTGAACAAAGTCCAAACGAGAGGGCCAGTTGAAGGGCCCTGGGTACTGATACCAAAAAGCTGTGAGTAGCCTGATTTGGTCACTTCCATGATTTTAGTAGACTGTAGTACAGGGTGGTGCTATGTCAGGGTGCCCTGTCTACTGGTTAGTGCTAAGAACACACAAATTCATACCTTTAGGTATATCCTGAAGTCAGGTGTTTTTTTTGCAAGGTGTGTGTGTTAGTATATACAGTTAATATGATAGTATTTATGTATGTACAGATACACCCTCCTTTGTTACAAAAATGATTTATCTTTTTTAAAAAAGTATGTGTTTATTTCCTAAATCTGTGATTTAAGCTATTCTACCGAGAATGTGTCTTATACTCTTTTGTATTACTCATAGTACGTAATGTACATGTTAGTTGTTAATAAATATTTATTGGTAATTGATCAGATATGCTCATTCATTCATTTATTCATTTGTTTAGTCAATAGTATTTAAATGCCTTCTATTTGTCAAGTACTGTTAGGGAATAGGGACATAATGGTAGGGTATTTCATGCAGGTCCATAAATAAGCACATATAGAAGGGAAGATATATAAGTAATTACAGTAGCATCATAATAGCAAGGCTGCTTTGGTCATAACTAACAAAACCAGGGACAGCAACATTTTTTTTGTAAAAGGCTAGATAGTAAATAATTTAGGCTTTCTAGGCCATATGTCTCTATTGCAACTATTGAACTCTGCCCTTCCAGCACAAAAGCAGCTATAGATAATACGAAATGAACAGCATGACTGTGCTCCAGTAAAACCTAAACTAGATAGTTGGCAAGATTTGGCCCAAGGATTGTAGTTTGTCAACATCTGGTTGACAAACATCTGGTTTTAGCCATTATTGCTAATATAACAAATAGTTTGGAGGTAAGCAGACCCAGGCCCTTTTTATCCTTCCAACAGGCCAGTCTCAGCATATTGGCTTTCATCTTCAGTTTTTTGTTTTTTTTCTTTGTTCTTTTTAAATTTTTTTTCCTTCTTTGTCTTTTTTTGTTTTCTTTTTTTTCCTTTTTATTTCTTCATCTTCATTTTTGACACTTACTGGTTGAAAGATATTTCTATGTACATGAGGTAAGTTGGTTGATCTAGACTGGTCAACATGTCAGGGAGCGGCTCTCAAAAGAAGAGATGTTTATACATTGAAGGAAGAAAGAGATGGGAAAGAATGTTGCATGCAAAATGAACTTCATATGGAAAGACTTGGAGGCAAGCAAGGTAGGTATTTGAGGAACTGAAGTCTTATAGAGCTTGGTTTAGAGTAGAAGAGAAATAATGATGAGAGATGATTACTAGAATACCTTATAAGTTATGTCAAGGAGTTTAGAGTTAATTCTGAAGGCAATGAGAAGCCAGTGAAGTTTCAAATAAAGTAATGATTTAATCATTACTACATGAGGTATGAACAAAATCTTTACTTACAGGGGACATAATAATAGTAAGCATCTAACACTTATTATTCCCATATTAGCTTTTCAGTAGATGGATACTGTTCTCAGAAATGTACCCATCAAGACTTCTGGAATATTTTGTTCAGACAGTTGACTTTATACTTTTCTTCCTTCACATAACTTTCCGAAGCTTTATAATTTTAGGGAGAGGTCAGAATTTCGCCCCAGACATACATATACATAACCTGACAACTGAAGTAGTTATTTTCGGTGGGTATCGGGAGGGGAATATATTTAAATAGAATTTCTTTTTTTAAAATATATTTTTATTGATTTCAGAGAGGAAGGGAGAGGGAAAGAGAGATAGAAACATCAATGATGAGAGAGAATCATTGATTGGCTGCCTCCTGCACGCCCCCTACTGGGGAAGGAGCCTGCAACCCGGGCATGTGCCCTTGAAGGGTATCAAAGCCTTCAGTCTGACACTCTATCCACTGAGCCAAACTGGCTGGAGCTAAATAGAATTTCTTGTACTGAAATGTGACTTCCACTAAATCAATTGACTTTCAAGCTTTCTGAGAATAGGTATTGAAGCCACTGGGATAGCAGTGAAATTGGGCTTCAAATATAGCCCACAGCCTATAGTTACCTATTTATGAAATCTTTCATTAAAAAGTTGACTATTCAGTGCAATTAGATATTAGGT